TACTTTTATCTTTTGCTTGTCAACTGAGATGCACAACATGCTAAGGAAAACCATTTTTCTGCAAAGCACTCAGTTCCTGAAGACCCATTGGTATAAATGGTCTTTATCTGTCCATGAAAGGAACCAATCTAGCTTTCCTAGGAAGGGAGTTCCAGAACCAGGAATTGGAAAAGTTCATGTTTTATCCCTGCGAGGGTAGCAGGAGTAAATGACAGGTCTTCTATGTTCTTAGAAGTTGTGGACATCTTCATATGGGGAAATCTTGTCCTTTGTGTCAAAAGAGTTAAAGTTCTTAAGATAGCATTCACCTGAGGCTGAGAGCATGTGGCCTGCCCAAGGTCACCCAGCAAGTTTCATGGCCAAGTGGAGAACTGAAGCCTGATCTCCAAAGCCACACTCAAACCACTACGCCACACTGGCTCCCAAGACAGAACAGTAAATGGCACCCTACATCACACAGGATAGGTTCAAAGTCCAGCCAGGTTATTCTATAAGGCAGAAATTCCCACAGATGCCTCTCCCCAGCTTTGTAACAAAATAATGGACATTTTGATGCCTCTTCTTGAGACCTAAAACCTAATGCCAAAAGCAAAGACCTCACTTTGCCTAATGGTAGTGCAAGTCCTGACATTGACTGCCAATATGTGGAACACTCTACAGTCTAGAGTGGCTGGAGAGGTAGGGTGGTGTAATGGTTTGAGTGCTGGACTATGACTCTGAAGAGCAGGGTTCAATTCCTTGCTTGGCCATGAAACCCACCCGGTGACCTTGGGTGAGTCACACACTCTCAGCCCCAGAAAACCTGGTGATAGATTCACCTTGGGGACACCATAATTTGGAACTACTTGAAGACACACAACAACAGCATAGAGTGGTTGGACTTCTAGGCTCAAGGTTGCTAACTATTTCTGAAGTCCCCAGCATTTTTAGGACTGCATCGCCAGACTGTTCAGTTTTTTTTTTAAATACAGTGATTCCTTTATTTGACCAATCAAAATGCACAAAATCTGTTTTGTTGATTTGGGATAATAATAATAATAATAATAATAATAATAATAATAATAATAATAATAATAATTTGTTTATTTATAGCCCGCCTTTTGCCGTAGCAATCAAAGCGGCTTACAGCTATTATTTGGACATTGCTATATGGACAACATGGCTACCTCTGAATATGTTTTTTGTTTGTTTAAGTTCAGCATCCAAATTATGAAATTTGCCACTTGCTTTCTCACCTGGGATATTTTTTATTGGGGGGGGGAGACACCTATCACTTCAACTTACATGTGTTTCTGTGACTCTTTTGTGCATCTCAGAGAATCGCACACATGCGCTCCAACAAAATTGAGCCTTGATCTGCTAATCTGCTGGGCTTCAGAGGGTCCAGGTATCTCATGGCCATTATTAACTGTGGTGTAGTGGTTTGAACTCTCTCAGCCTCAGGGGAAAGCCATGGCAACCCCCCTCTGAGGAAATACTGCTAAAAAAAACCTGTGGCATAGTGGTTTGAGTGCTGGACTAGAATTCTGTTGAATTCTAGGGTTTGTTTCCCTGCTCAGCCATGAAACTCACTGGAGGACCTTGGGCGACTCACACTCTCTCAGCATCAAGGAGAAGGCAATGGCTACCCTCATCTGAACCAATCTTGACAAGAAAATCCCATGATAGGCCTTAGGATTGCCATAAATTGGAAATGACTTGAAGATACACAACAACAACAGCAAATGTATATAATATCATACACACACACACACAAAGGGTGACTAGACATCTCCTTTTCCAGGACATGTACTCCATTTCAACCTTATGTCCAGGAGGAATTTCAAAATGTCCTCCATTTGGAGCATGACCAAGAAGCCTGAATTTACATTTCTAGGAGTGTTTTATACCTTTTC